TTATACCATCAAATGTAAAATGCTCCAATATTTTAGATACTGCTAAAATACTGTCAATTATGATTGTAAGATGCTTCTCAATTTCAGAGATGTTGTAATGTGAAAATATGTGTACCTTAAAATTGATGAAATACAGCAAATAATAGGCCACATTCAGCCACCAGCCTTTTGTTTTCTGACCTGGGATCAGAGGATCTGATTATCTATTATAGATCTCGTAATCTTTAAGATGGAGTTTTATTTTTCTTTTTTAAAGAAAAAGAGAAGATGACTTGTGAACGATAGTTACCAGAAAGAAAGGTATTTTCATAGGGTAAAATTTCTATTTAGTGAGCACTTATAAAGCTATGCATAAGGTAAGGTTTCAGGAGCTGATACAGACTTACTGTTTGCCTCCATGCCTCGATGCTGAAGGGCCTGCAGGACCCCCCTAAAGTGTCAACAAAAAGGACAATGAACTACCACCTCTATTTTGGAGTGTGCTCTCCTACCTCAAAAGCTTTTTTCCTATTGATTGATAAGAAGAGTTTTGCAGAGTTAGGTAACCAAGAAGTACATTCAAAGGATCAACAGGTATTGTTCTTACCTTGCCTAATTCCATTTTCTTTTTAACAAATGAAATTTTACGAGGTTTCCTTCACCCTATTTCATATAAATTTATCCAGTATTGGGGCAAAGTTTTTCCCTAAAACTATATTTTATTTCATATGTTATTGGCTATAAATTTCTAAAAATACATTCAAATACTCACAGGACTCAGGCAGTAACTAGTCATTTACAAACAGACAAAATAGCCAAAGCAAATATTAAACATGTAATTTTAATGTGTACCAACTACTTTACTTTTCAAAGTAGGCTTCTCTTCTCTTCCGCAGCTCTTCTGAAGTAAGAGTGGTACCTGATCTCTGTGGAATATCTTGAGATATATTTCTGGAACCACCTAAAAACGAAACAAAAGAAAACAAAAACCAATCACTTTATTTACCAATGTAAGCAACAATAAGTTTATACTCATTTGAGCAAGTTTTTCTAGTTTTCTTCTTTAAAATATTCTTGCTTCTATTCTATAAATATAAGAAAGGCTCTGAAAGTCTCAGGGGAAATCTGATTAAGGCAGTCCAAATCAAATGTATGTCCACTGCAACCAATGCTGTTACCCATCTGTGATGCAAAAGATGTGAGAATATAAGTCAAATAACCAACATGGTAAGAGAAGTCATTAACACCACACTTGTGTGCTCTCTTTAAATTATCAGAAATGAATCTACACCTTCAAAGGCAGAGTAGTCCTCAAAGCAACATAAAGTGGATGATCATAAAACAAATCCATTCTCTGGTCTCCTTTATCCTCAAACATTTGGGTACAACAACTTAAATGTTTCGATGTTCTCACTTGAGAGATTCTGTT